TAAATCATTTGAATCCCACAAACTATTCATGGACTTCTGATGTCCTTCTTGTGGATGTGCAAATTCTGTGTGAGATGCATAGTTTCCTCTGGGACAGCCCTCATCTGGACTGTGAGTGAAGATTGGGCAGAAACGGATTCCTGCGGAGCCTGACTTGCTCAAGCCTTAGACAGACTGTGTCTGAGCCTGACCTGGACTCGATCCTGGCAGTGCATCATATTCGCATCTGCAGTATTCTCCCAGGTCATGGTGACTGTGTTTCAGGCCTTGGACCAGCTAAGCTCCCTGACGGACAGTTGATGGACAGTGGGAGCCTGTTTCCCTGTTAGGGCGCAATAGAGGCAGATGGAGGCAGTGTTGGGAGTATGTGCAGTCCTACAGGTCCCAGAGAGTCCCCAGTAGGGGTCGCCCCAACTGAGGACTACACACGAGTTCAGCCCCAGGAGGTAAAGGTAAAGGTAAAGGCCCTCCCGTTGATCGTCGATTTGCTCGAGCGGGCCCAGTAACGTCTCCATTGGAGACTTTGTTGTTACTGTGTCTGGCATATCAAATACTCTCGGTAGCTTGCCGGGCTCTCCGAGAGGGCCGGAGGAATCGAACTCGGGTCGGCCATGTTGGCCGCTTGTAAGGCGAACGCCCTACCCGCTGTGCTATCGCTCCTGCCCCAGGAGCAGGGAGGGAAATGATTTCTGGGTGCTAAGAGCAGAGGCGCACTGAGGGACCCACAGAGGAATGAGGTGGAGACAGTGACCTGGTTCACTGTCCCTTCAAGGAACCTCCAGATCCAGATATTCCAAGGCAATTGGTCGCTGAAATAATGGAAGGAGACTGAGCAGCAGGGTATGCTCAGGTCCCCACAAAGGTTGCAGCCCAGCAGCAGGCACAGTGGGGTGGGTGGGTATTAACTCAGGTCCTGGGTTTCCCTGATTCAGTTTAAAAAAATGAAATTATCCCAGGGATTTTGTGCATGGCAGGCTCAAGTCTTCATAAATACCTGGTATTGGGAAAATGAAACAAAAACAACAACAAAAAATATGACAATAATTCAAAGACAATTTCAAGTACTACTTGGGGCTCTACAAGCTTACAGAGCTTGGTGACACGATTAATTTACTGATAGAAATGATTCCTATTGGGACAGTTCTAACTCTCAAACATGGGGCATGGCGGTATCCAAACTCTGATATAACCCCTAGGTCAGGACTCCTGGTTTCTCTGCTCCTCAGAGGTGGGTCACCTGAGGGGAGTGGCCTGGCGGGTCTGTCCCTCAGGGGAGGAGCTCTGTCTGCTCAGAGTTCAGGGACAAGGCAGGGGCCAGGCTCACAAATAAGCACCGTCATGGACTTGGACACTCCTCACTCGGTGAGCACTGAACCCTGCGTCACCCACCTGATCTCCCTCAGATTGGGACAGGTCTTCAGCTCTGATTCCTCCTCATGAATATCCACATCAATCAGGTACACCGAGTTAATACAGAAAAATGTGTTCCCTGAGAACAGGTCACAAAAGTACACCCTCCTACCTACCCCAAAGACCCTCCCCACAAACCTCCTACATGAACCCACACCGTTACAGGCCTACATGTTTGTCTCCCACTGAGAATGGCCCTCGGTGAAGGTCTCCTGTCCCGGACTGAGGGGTCCAGGGCCCTCAGGGGGAGCCCACGCCCCTTTTCCCCTCACAGGGAAGCACCCCCAGGCGCAGCAGGCGCCCTGTGGGCTGAGGAGGACTCTGGGCGTCTGAGAGGGTCTCTGAGGCATCCTGGTCCCCTCCACCGGTGTCTCTGTGCACTTGTGGACTCAGCCCAGATCCGGTTCGGGGAGAGGACAGACCACGCTGATGAAGAAGCACAGCAGTGGCTGGGCAGCATCCCCCCTGACTGGACACATCTCAGCACAGCCCACTCAGCGCTGAGCGTCTGGGGTCTTGGGGCTGACCAGGGGGACCCCCCCCATGCGCGAGATACCTGCAGGGAGATGGGACAGTGACCTCCAGACACCCCTGATGACATTCCCATCGGGTCGGAGGGACACGGTATTGGGGTGACTGTTAGGGAGACGGACCCAGAGTGTCGGGGCCCCGAGGAGCACCTCGGGTTGAGCCTGATTCAGACGAGGATCTGGGTCCGGCTCGGCAGGGGGGAGGCCATGGGCAGCGCTGCCCACGTGGCCCCCGCAGTCCGGGATGGACACAGGAAGCCCCCGGACAGGCCCAAGAGGACACCGGCTCCTGCTGATACGTCCCCGGCCGCGCCTGACTCAGGCTGTCGGGGGTTGTAGGGCCCAGAGAGGATCGGTCAGAGGGGGCTGCCCGACCTTTGCCGCCTGACCCGGAAACAGCTCCTGAGGGCAGGAAGCAGGAACTGTGGTTCCAGAACCGTCCAGGGCTCCTGCGCCAGGTACTGGCTGCTCCCCGCTACTACTCTTCCTCTCTCTCTCTCTCTCTCTCTCTCTCTCTCTCTCTCTCTCTCTCTCTCTTTCTCTCTCTCTCTCTCTCTCTCTTTCTCTCTCCCCCTTGCATTTCTCTAAGTAAATCTCATTAAAGAATATTCTTGTGCATCACTGAAAAAGTCAGAGTTCAAGTCATGTGTCCAATAAAACTTAACTATTTTAGCGTATTCATCATTTGTAAGCCCCAAGCCCAGGCGGTTGGTGCGGGTGGGTGGGAAGGACGCGGCGGGGCTGAATGGGCTGCAGGTACCTCTGTGTCAAGCAGGGCTGGAACATCTGCCGGGCGGGGAGATGCGCAGAGGCCAGGGAGAGGACTGAGGTGAGGGTGGCCAGGGCTGGGCCTGGGGCGCCTGCCCGCAGGGTCGCAAGAGCAGTACCCGCAGCAAGACCACAGCGCTGGCCAACAGCAGGTAGCTGCCGGGCTGCGAGGCGCGTGGGGCACGTGGGGCGCCATGTGTCCTGCCCACACCCTTCCGCCTCAGCTGGCCAGGAGCGCGTGGGGGCGAGGCCCGGGGCTCGTGTTGGGCCCGCTGTCCCTGGAGAGCCAGAGCCACCACGACCAACTCGGAGGCCAGGGGCAGCGGCCTGTGTCAGGCCAGTCTCCCCCTTCACCCAGCCCAAGGGAGCCCCTCAGCTGGGGGCATATTGGGACCACCCGCAGGCCTCGAGGAGTGCAATCCGCCCCACCACAGCCAGAGGACAGGACGCCGGAACACGGGACCCAGAGCCAGAGATCAGACCCAGAGACTCTCGCCCCGCACCCAGCAGATACTGCCCGACCCCCTGTGGGTGTCAGTCCTGGGCACTGCCATGTGCGGCCTGGCCAGTGAGTAAATACTGGAGGGGCCAGAGGGGGAAGCTGCACTGTGCTGACCCAACCCTACATTTCAGACTCTAAGTGTGGCTTTTCCATGGGTTTCATTCTTACTTGAGCAAATAGGTTGACGTAGTTTTGCCCCAAGACCTTGGATCATGCGCTTTACTGGATAAAAATGTGTGGGTGGTCTGGAGCAATAGCACAGTGGTTGGATGTTTCTCTTATACGTGGCCCACCAGACAACCCAAGTTCGATTTCTGCGCCCCTCTTGGAGAGTCCGGCAAGCTACCGAGAGTATTCCACCTGCATGACAGAGCCTGGCAAGCTCCCCATGCCACATTTGATATGCCAAACACAATCACAACAAGTCTCACAATGCAGACGTTACTGGGCCCATTCGAGCAAACAATGGGAGGACACTGCTACAGTGCTATTTATTTATTTATTTATTTATATTTGTCCTATTAATACAGTTATAAAATAAACTTGTTTGCAGCTGTGTTAGACTTATGCCTGGGTTTTGAAAAAGTCTTCATAAATTTAATCAATGTAATATATATTTGTTTATATTAAAGTCTTTACTTAAAGACTTAAATTCTCTTTTACTTGATGGCTTTTATTTGAATGAATTAAGTGTTTATTGTGTTATTTTACATAATCTCAGCAAAGAACACTCAGTGTCACCTTTCAATTTTTAGAAATATAACTACTTGATTTGCCAGTATTTTCCTAGGATGCATCTACCTGAAAAATTCCAGAGCACAAAGCCAAATGTATGCCCTCAGAACTGCCAGGTGTGGCTCAAAACCAAAACAAGATGCCCAGAAAAGAATATGACTCGTGAACAAGGCTTCTGAACTGAAGTTCCAGGATTCAATCCTGTGTTAGAGACACCAAGAGTGCAGAGACTCTCCCTGCAGGGTGGGGACCGGGCTGCAGGGGGCGCCAAGACCCAGGCCCAGACTTGCAGGCCTGATGGGGTGCAGAGATGAAAAGGGTTTCTCTTAAAAACAGAAATACTGTGTGACTGAAATCGAATCACAAACAGCTTTGTAAGCATCTATCTCGCAGAGATTTAATAAAAAATAATAAATAAAAACATTTTTAAAAAAACAGAAAAATAAATTTTGCTTTATTGAGAAAACCAAAACAAAAATAAGTATAGGACACAGAAGGTTAAATTGTGCATACTTAACCTTTTGGGGAAGAACAATTTATCATATTGATAAGGCAGTAAATTCTGTATGCAGGCGGCATTTCTGGACTTCTTAACATCCCCAATGGAAACCTCTGAGGCATTAGAATGGTTTTGTAGACTCAATGTAGTATCCCTTAGGGAGTTACAGGATCCCAGAAATAACCTCAGAGCCCCTGAGTACCCAGATGTGTCTAGGCCATACATATGTGGACCCCTGAGGGGAAGGTCCTGAAAGGGCTTGGCCCTCCAGAGGGGGAGCTCTGTGTGCACAGAGTCCTGGGACAAGACAGGGTCTCATCTCCTCAAACAAGGGTCAGAACGTGGACCTCTTCACTCCCCTTGAGAATGGAATGAGTGGCTTCCACCAGCCCCTTCTCAGGTTAGACCAAGCCTTCAGCTATGAGTTCTCCCTCCTCATGAATATGCAAATTATGCGAGAGACAATGAGTTAAATACAGATGTGTCTGTGTCCTGACAACCTCACACAGCAGGCACACCCACACCTTCAGAAGCCCCTGAGTGCACGGTCCCCACCATGGACTGGACCTGGAGAATTCTGTTCCTGGTGGCAGTGGCTGCAGGTAAGTGTCCCCATGCCATGGGCTAAGGGTATGGGGCCAGTCAAGTGCAGTCCACCCATTCCTGTCTGCTGTCCACAGGTGTGAACTCCCAGGTGCAGCTGTTGCAGTCTGGGGCTGAGGTGGGAAAACCTGGGACATCAGTGAAGATCTCCTGCAAGGCGTCCGGATACACCTTTACCAGCTACTATATGCACTGGGTGCGGCAGACCCCAGGACAAGGGCTCGAGTGGATGGGATGGATATACCCTGATGATGGTGATACAAAGTATGCACAGAAGTTCCAGGGCAGACTCACCTTCACTGCAGACAAGTCCAAGGACACAGCCTACATGGAACTGAGCAGGCTGAGCACTGAGGACACGGCCATGTATTACTGTGCGAAACACACAGTGTGACAACCACATCCTGAATGTGTCAGAAAACTGAGGGGGAGGCAGCTGTGCCGGGTGAGGAGATGACAGGGACGCTGATCCTCCTGACTTCCTCCCCATGGAGTCAGGGTTAGAGACACAGAATGGGGCTCACAGGGCCAGGCTTCATCTGAGGGAAAGGCTTAGGGTCTCTCTGTCTTTCAGCAACAGCCAAGAGGAAGATGGCCTCTCTCTAGAACACCCGGTGTTATTCATATTTTCGTCTAGGATTTTGTGTGGAGCACCCCAGATGATACAGGAAGTACCACATGGAACTTTGGGCTGGGGTCAGGTTTCTGAACTTTAGGTCTATCCATGGCAGAACCCCAATGTTCCACATTTTGTTTGAAATTCTTTCTCTGCAAGAAATCCTTTTCTCTGAGATGAATTCCTTGTGGTGGCCAGACCCCATTCTGGAGTTTCTGTGCAGCCCTGCCCATTTGTACATCTTCATATCTCTATACTCCTGAGCTGGACTCCTGCCATTGGACAAGAGAAAGTGGAGGAGATGACCCTCTATGAAAGGGATCAGGGCCACATTCCTTCTATCACGTGGTGGTAAGGAAATGGTCAGTTTCCGGGTCTGTGAAGGCCTGATGTTGGGGGCATCTCAGTCCAGCTCAGGGGAAGGTCGTGACCTAAGCACAGACACACTGTCTGGGGTGTGTCCAGGAGAACTGGCAATAGCATGGACCAGCAGACAGGATCTAGAGCGAGGCCTCAGGGGATGCTCCCTCCACCACAGGGTCATGCATCCCAGCTGAGCTTACCTGGCGTGTAACCTCAACAAATGACCAATATTCCTGGGTAATATATGGTATCGAGTGAGACATAGCATGGCAGACCTGGCAAGCTCCCTGTGGTGTATTCGATATGCCAAAAACAGTAACAATAATGGGTCTTATTCCCCTGACCTTGAAAGAGCCTCCAATATGGGAAGGACGCGTAAGGAGAGACTGCTAAAATCTCAGGGCTGGAACGAATGGAGACGTTACTGGCCCCTGCTCGAGCAAACAGATGAACAATGGGATACCAGTGATACTGTGACAGTGATAGATTGAGGCATTAATTTTGTGCATGCCTTGCAATCTGGGAAAAAGTAATCACAATATATCACTTTCTCTTACTTGATATTGAGAACATTATATACATGATCATATATCCATGCACAAATGTATAGACTATGTGAGTGGAAAATAGAAATATATATATATATATATATACATATATAATTATCCTATCAGTGTCCACAGGGAAGCCTCAGAAAGCTTGACAATGTGAGAGGCTATGATTCATGTAGACCATAGTATTACTGGGAATATACGTGCTTCCATAATTCCATAATTGGATTATGACCTTTACTTCTTATGCAGAATCCAAAATTCATACCTGTACTTTAAAAACTTACAAATTTATCAAAATGGTCAATATACAAAAAATGAGCAAACCCTTCCCAATGACAGGAAAAAATGCTCATATCTGATATGAGAGTATTTTTATTCCCTCCCCTAGAAGGACATTGAACACATACAAATCAGGATGACCTTCAATTCCTTAATTCACAAAGAGCATAATGTGGGCGAAAGTTCTGACCGAGGTCAATGCAGAGCACAGAAGCAGGGGCCCGACCTGAGGGTCAGCCTGGGTTGTCAGTGTGGTAGAGCAGAAAGACGCAGACAGATTATGGGGACAGGGCAATCCAGAAATCAGACCTCGAGGATTGTTCTCAATGTACCCTTCAGACCTCTGCACAGAGCAGGTGCCTATATGGGGCTCCTTGGTGACTGAACTGCCACCTACAATTCTGGAGTGTCAGACTATATCCAGTCTCCCCACTGTCCTCTGTGGGTAGTGACAACTCCAAGTGACACTGGGAATGCCACGTTCTCAAATCACCAACCACTCTCTGTAGGATAACATTGCTTTGCCCTTTCTCCCTTGCCACAAGGTGCTTAGGTTTCTTGGGACACACCAATCATAGTGCTCAAGAGTCACTCCCATTTCTTTTTTTTTCCCTTTATTTTATTTTGTTTTATTTGTTTTTAAAGTTGTAGATTTACAATTTTTTGTGCTTTGGTTTCAATTATACAATGATCAGATACCCATCCCTCCACCAGTGCCCATTTTCCACCACCATGGATAATATCCCTCCCACCCCCATCCCCCCTTCCCCCCTGTCTCTGTGGCAGGGCAATCCCCTGTGTTCTCTCTCTCCTTTTGGGTGTTGTGGTCTTCAAAAGAGGCATTGAGTGGCAAACATGTTCAGTCCATAGTCTACTTTCGACATGCATCTCCCCTCCTGGGAGGATCCTCCAAACATCCTTTATTTGGTGCTCCCTTCTCTATCTGAACTGCCCTTTCCTCTAGGACACCCGGCTGGCCTCTAAGTTATGGAGTAATCCTCCTGGTGCTGATCTCACCTATTCTTGGGTATTAATCTCATACTTTGTTACTTTATATCCCCCAGATGAATGCAATCTTTCTATGTCTATCCCTCTCTTTCTGACTCATTTCGCTTAGCATGATACTTTCCATATTGTACCACTTGTATGTAAATTTCATGACTTCATCTTTTCTAAGAGCTACATAGTACTCCATTGTGTAGATGTACCAAAGTTTCTTTAACCAGTTATCTGTTCTTGGGCATTCAGGTTTCTTCCAGTTTCTGGCTATTGTAAAGAGTGCTGCAATGAACAAACAAGTGCAGATGTCACTTCGATTATACATTTTTGCCTCTCTGGGATATATTCCCAGAAGTGGTATTGCTGGGTCAAATGGGAGCTCAATTTCTAATTTTTTGAGAATCGTCCATACTGTTTTCCAGTTGGGCTGAACCAGTGGACATTCCCACCAACAGTGAAGGAGTGTCCCTTTCTAGCCACATCCGCGCCAGCAACGGTTGCTTTTGTTCTTTTGAATGTGGGCCAGTCTCTGAGGTGTGAGATGGTATCTCATTGTGGTTTTGATCTGCATCTCCCTGATGATTAATGATGTAGAGCATTTTCTCATGTGCTTTTTTGCCATTCAGATTTCTTCTTTGAGAAAGTTTCTGTTCATTTCATTGCCCCATTTTTGGATGGGGTTGGATGTTTTCTTCTTGTGGAGTTTAACCAGTATTTTGTATATCCTGGATATCAACCCCTTGTCAGATGTGTATTCGGTGAATATCCTTTCCCATTCTGTAGACTGTCTTTGTATTTTGGTCACTGTTTCTTTGGAGGTGCAGAAGCTTCTTAGTTTAAGATAGTCCCATTTATCTATCTCTGTTTTCACTTGCTCGGCCAGTGCCGTGGCATCTTTGAAGATACCATTAGCTTCAATGTCATGGAGGGTTTTGCCAACTTTATCTTCAATGTATCTTATGGTTTCTGGTCTGATGTTGAGGTCTTTAATCCATTTTGATCTTACTTTTGTACATGGTGTTAGGCAGAGTTCTGAGCCTATTTTTTTGCATGTAGCCGTCCAGTGATGCCAACACAATTTATTAAAGAGGCTTTCCTTACTCCACTTCACATTACTTGCACCTTTATCAAAGATTAGATGAGCATATGATTGAGGGGAGATGTCTGTGTATTCAACCCTGTTCCATTGGTCTGCAGTTCTGCCTTTGTTCCAGTACCATGCTGTTTTAATTATTACTGCTTTGTAGTACAGTTTGAAGTTCGGGAGGTTGATTCCTCCCATTTTCTTTTTCCCAAGAATTGCTTTAGCTATTCGTGGGGGCTTATTGTTCCATATAAATTTCAGGAGTGTTTGCTCCATTTCTTTGAAGAATGTCATGGGTATCCTTATAGGGATTGCATTGAATTTATACAATGCTTTCGGTAGTATTGCCATTTTGACAATGTTAAGTCTCCCGACCCATGAGCAGGGGATATCTTTCCATTTCCTCATGTCCTCTTTTATTTCCTGAAGTAGCGTTTTGTAGTTTTCTTTGTACAAGTCCTTTACTTCCTTAGTTAAGCTGATTCCTAGGTACTTGATTTTCTGGGGCACAATTGTGAACGGGATTGTTTTTTTCATGTTGCTTTCTTCTCTCTCACTGTTTGCGTATAGGAAGCCATGGACTTTTGGGTATTGATTTTATAACCTGCAACTTTACTATACCGAGTCTATTGTTTCTAGGTCACTCCCATTTCTTTGTTTATCTGTAATCATTTCTCTATGCTCTCTTCTCCAACCAGTTAATCATCTTTCCCCCCTAATCAGACTCTGTTAATTTGTAAGGTCAGATCCTTCTAGGACACTGAACTTGTATTTTAAGTTAATAATGCCTTTCTCCCCTCCTTATGTCTTTTAAATAGTTTACTTTAAAGCATCTCCTTTTGTATAGACAGAAGAAGACAATTAATTTGATGCTTTTCTAACATCGAATTTAATTGGCTTTAATTGGCTTCGAATATCATTCATTCCCGAACATCTGCTTTCTCACCTTAGGCCTCAGTTATACTCACTTATTAGCGCCCCCTTAAAGCACGGTCCCAACAAGGAACTGGATGGAATCAGGACAAGTGGAAAACTATGTGCTAACCTGGCATCGAGATGGGCCTGGCCAAAGTGCCATAATTCTTTTTTTTTTCCTTTTTGGGTCATACTCAGTCGATGCTCAGGGGTTACTCCTGGCTCTGCACTCAGGAATCACTCCTGGCAGTGCTCGGAGGACCATATGGGATGTTGGGAATCGAACCTGGGTCAGCCGTGTGCAAGGTAAACGCCATACCCACTGTGCTATTGCTCCAGCCCCAGTGCCATAATTCTTAACTATAAGAGTTTAATCATGGACAAATGCTGTCATGATCCAAAAGTAATCATGAGACTAGGACCCTGCTAGGGATTTGAAAGACTAATCTGGTCTGATCACTGTAGTCTGAGATTGGGAAGACTCCAGGAGAGCAATTCTATAAGCTTAATGCATCTCTTACTGTGTCCATACAAAACGATTAACATTATGAATGCTTCTATGTTTGTTTGCCATCGAGAGAAGAAACACACCCTTGGGATTCCTGCTGAAAGAGACCCTTTCCTAGAAGCAGCATCCCCTGAGGGAGAGAACTTTAACCCTATTGAGTGTGACCACACCTATGTGGAAGTCCAGCCCCGCATGGTTTGGGGATTTAACTAGACTGTAAGAGTGGGCTGGGCGATCAGAGACAGAGCAGAGAGAGAAGGAATGGGGGTTCCAGATTGGGGCCCAGGAGAGATGGAGAGAGAGAGAGACAGGAGTGAACGGGGATGAGAATGGAATACACAACATCTGATCAATCAACCAGCTTGGCCCTTGCTTCATCCACGGTCTGCCCCATGGCCTGGGGTGGGAGAGTGGCCCGGGCCCCCCAGAATCCTGGACGGCCATGGGAAGAGGGTCGAGGCCACCCCCTCGCCACCCTCGGAGATTTTTTACTACTCTCCTAGTGTTACACACCTCCAACTGAATCCAGAAAGTCTGGGGTATTTCTCTGAAGACATTTTACTCATAACTTTACATATATGAGAAACACCTGGAAAGAGTCTTAATGCTGTCTACCCTCTGTGGGCCTTAGCGTGCTTACTAAGTTGAAAATCACTCAACTTTCTGAAACATAGAACAAACTAGAGGATATCATGCTGAGTGAACCAGACAGCAGAAAAGGGAGAGATAAAGAATCATCTGTCTCATAATATGGGCTTAAAGGATACACAACAAGGTAGCAACAATGGCTAAGAGCAGCACAATAGGAGAACTGATCCACACAGTTGAGTTTTGGGGGAAGGAGCTTTAACCCTGACTTCAATCTCTGAATCCTCACAACATCTTATTCCCTGAACTCTAAGACTTGAACTTGTTTCAATCTCTCAGGCCCTGCACCAAGTGCCAGGGGCTCAGAATGGTTGTCCAACCTGCACACAGACAGGGCACTGGGACAGGAAGTGCTCCCTGGTGAGCAGAGGTGTGGGGGAGTCTCCTCGCCTGACCAATGTGTAATTATCTTTCTGTGTCCTGGGACAAACAGGAACTTCAGTTCCCCTCACTAAGTCCCTGGAGGAGACTTTCAGTTTCCTGTTTTGGGGAAGCCCAAGGCACACAGCCTCCTGTGTTCAACATCTAGGCAGGGGACGCTGAGCTCGCATGCGAAATGACAGAAAGAAAGGAAATGTTTTGGCTGACAGTGTGGGCACGTTTTCTGTCCTTTCTAGAGTCTCAGGAAAATCCTCTCCTCTTAAAGGTGTTGAGTTCAAAAATCCCAGATAGTCTGATCCATGCCCTGTCTTCCCTGATGAGGTTTCATCATGAAATTTGAAGTCTCCGTGGGACTGGGGAAACGTCTCCCTTGCAGAGGCCATTGATCAAATGCTTGGATCCCCATCTCCCTGCACGTAGTTATCTCATAAGTACATGGAATCTGGGAACAAGGAGTTGGTCGGTCTGTCTTGGACAGTAGATGCTCAAAAGTTTATGAGTGCAGCTTGGCTGAGACATAGTCGCCCACATAAGTCATTGACCCTCAGTCATATGACAGATTATTAGGAGAGCTGTGGGTCCATAGAGGCTGAGGGAGAATGCCTGTGTGCACTAAGAAGCAGGTGGCAGAGAGAAACAGGGGATTGTTATGCCTTGAAGAAGCTTCTGGAGCACTGGCCTTGATGCTCCAAGGCAGAGGCAAGGTTGAAGTATTGCTGACACCAGAGATGTCTCTTTCCCACTGGTCATAAGCAAATCAAGACCCATTAATCTACATTATTATTAGAAATGTCAAAGAAGATGGGGTTTGGGAAACTCTCTAAGGTCCAATGTCCTCTAGTGGCCAAGGGGCTGTGCCAAGGAGAACTCCAACACCTCCACACATCCAGTGGACACTGTCCCCTTAATAATGAGCCCAAAGTTGATGGTGGTTCCCTGAGTATTCTGGGACTCTCTAAAGGGATTCTAAGGCAGGCAAGATGAGAAAACTCTCAGGGCTGTGCTCCATGCAAGAATAGAGTAGTAAATTACCATGACTGTGTCATGCTTTAAATGTGATTGCTGATTGTGTGATCACCCTATGGCCGCAGCTTTGTGAATATCCCAATCCCGCTCTTAAGCTATCTAACTCTTAAACATATTAAGGGAAACAGTGGTTCGTGTGTTTGGCTATAGAAGAGATCTGAGTAGAAGTCATGAATGATCTTCTCCTTTTCCCTTCTGGAAGATGTGATAGATCCATCAGGATGTAGGAGGGCAATCATCTTGGTCTTGTAGTTGGCAAAGGACAGGTAGGCGTTGCGAATGCTTTTCCAGGCTTCTCCCGCATCTGCGAGCACTGCTGCTCTTCTCTCTTTGAGGTCTTTCGTTATCGCTTCTCTGCACTATTTTGCGAACTCAGATGTTCGCTTGCGATTGCCTGAGGCTCGCACCAAGCCACGTTGGCAAATGAGCTCGAGAGTTTTCAAAGACAGTCGTTTTTTTCTGGCTATCTATTTCTCAGAGTTCTTCGCACAATCATTGAGGTGCTGAACCAATCGATTGTATTCCTCATCAATGTTGTCTAGGACAGCATCTTCCCATGTTGCCACAATAGTGCCAAAGAGCTCCTAGTTGGTGATCATTCTCTTTTTAAACTTTGCATCCCTCTCTCCCCGCTCTGTGAAGAGCAAATTTAAAAAATTCTAATTTTGCATGAAGGAGACGGTGGTACGATCCACTTTGGAATTTTGGGACAACAGTGGCATCAGTCAGGCAAAACCGTCGATTGAATATGATGTGGTCAATTTCGTTGTGGAACCATCCACTGGGAGACACCCATGTCCAATGTTTAGATTCGGTCTTCTGGAATTGTGAGTTACCATGGATGGTCTTCGTCGACATGATGAACGCAGATAGTTTCTCACCCTGTTCGTTCCATTCTAGGCCACGGGTTCCTATGTGGAGTTCTTCGGCTGATTTTCTCTGTCCTATCTTAGCATTAAAATCATATTTATGCACAAGACAATGATCTTATAGAAGGTGCGATCTTCTTTATAGAACTTCTCTAGCTCCATGTAGAACTTCTCAATTTCTCCTTCATCATAATTGGATGTTGATGCATATACACCGAATCATTGTCCCAATGAACCCACTCTAAAAACCACTGTAGATAATAAGGAGTGAAGCTGCCCCTCGTGAAGAAATATTTATGCAATTTGAGAGAGTAAGTAGACTGAAAATTATTTAATCATAAATTGGAACAGTACAAGTCAGAATTTACTGTGACAATTATACTGTGTACACATGCCAGGACTTCTATATACAGTAGAACAGGAGCCACTTCACAGGGATTTGGAGGGACAGTGACCTGTCTACAGGGTAGAGTCCCTGGGGGAGCTGGGTTTGGTCATCAAGGACCTGAGACACAGGAACTCTCCTCCCCAGCTGCACATTCCTCCTGAGCAATTTCTGTTTTCTGAGAGCTCCTCAGTACCTTTCCTGTGCTGGAGGAAGAGGTCCGGCTCTCACACGGTCCCAGGGACAGGCCTGAGTGCTCTGAGCCACAGTCAGCACCTCCAACCAGGGAGCTCACACGCCAGCCTTCCCTGGTTCCCCCTTTCTCTGCAGAGGCTCCCGCATGCAAATCGTACTTGGGACCCAAGATTAAAACCACGTTCACACTCAGCTTAACTCGGGCTCTCTCTCCCCCAGACACAGTGTCTGAGATCATGGCCCTCATGGGCAGGAACGTACATCAGTGCCGGTTCCTCCTCTTTCTGGTGGCAGCTCCCAGATATGAGTATCCTCTGCACAATGGCTCCAAGGTGGGCCTGGGGCCTCTGGGCCCGTGACTCACTGTGGGTCTCTGTCCCCAGGTGTCCTCTCCCAGGTATAGCTGCAGGAGTCAGGACCAAGCTGGTGACGCCCTTGCAGGCATTGTCCCTCACATGCTTGGTCTCTGGATTCTCTCTAACTAGCTATGATGTAAGCTGGATTCGCCAGCCCCCTGGAAAGGGGCTGGATTGGATTGGTGCTGTATGGACTAGTGGAAACACATACTATAAGCCAAGTCTTCAGTCCCGACTCAGCATCTCCAGGGACATCTCCAAGAACCAAGTTTTCCTGAAAGTGAGAAACTCAATAACTGAGGACACAGTCGTGTTTTATTATGCAAGACATACAGTGAGGGCAAGTCCCTGTGAGCCCAGACACAAACCTGCTGAGGGAGATAGGTATATGCAGGGGTGCATTTGACCACCAGGAGTCTCTCTTTCCCGAAATTCTTGGCAGGAGGAGAAGGGTTTTAAGGGGTCACTTTTTTTCTTTTTCATTGAAATATATTTAAAGAATACAATAGCACTGTAACACTGTCGTCCCGTTGTTCATCGTGTTGCTCGAGTGGCCACCAGTAACATCTCACAACAAACTGTGAGACTTGTTGTTACTATTTTGGCATATTGAATACATCACGGGTAGCTTGCCAGGCTTTGTGGTGCGGGCAAGATACTCTTGGTATCTTGCCATGCTCTTCAAGCGGACCGGAGGAATCAAATCCAGGTCGCCCCCGTGCAAAGCAAACGCCCTACCCAGCATCCCAAATGCTCTCCTGAGCCCTTCCGGAAGTAATTCCTGGGTACATCACCCAGTGTGACCCAAAAAGCACTGTAGCACTGTACTCCAATTGTTCATCAATTTGCTTTAGCGTGCCCAGTCACGTCTCCATTGTGAAAATTATTGTTACTGTGTTTTGCATATCGAATAAGTCACGGGTAACTTGCCAGGCTTTGCCATGCGGGCGAGATACTCTCGGTAGCTTGCTGGGGTCTCGGAGAAGGGTGGAGGAATTGAACTCAGGTCCGCCAAGTTGTCCAAGTGTAAGGCAAACACCCTACCTCTGTATTATTGCTCCAACCCCCCCCCCAAGAAAAAAAATATATTATCCACATGTATAAGTTTTATTCATTACTTTCTCTTCTAGTTCAAAATTGTTTATTCTCTATCTCATTGTCTACTGGAGACTCGTGTGTTTTTATGAGGTATGTTTGATTTTCCTTCTTAAATAAATACCTTTAAACAAATGAGTGTTTTTCCCCTTTTAGTTTTGTTATTTTTAGTGAGGAAATAGTCTGAGTGTTGACGCTGGTGGGTTCCAAACTCCCTGAGCTTCTCCCAGCACCAAATCCTCACGGACCCCCACACTTTGCCGTGGCCCTTGTTCTCAGCCTCTTCTTCCCAGTGATTTGAGTCCCCACCTGCTTCCTTTCAAGAACCCCATAGGATGTTTAGGATGCATCTTAAATATTAGATGTTATCATTGGATCCTGTCCATCCTGACACTCTGTTCTCTGTGTACCATAATTAAACAAGATCTTCTGAGTTTGTTCTTCTTCCTTTGACTTACTTAATTTAATATGATATTCTCTACTTCCTCCCATGGTGCAGAAAACAATGATATTTTGTCATTAATTATAACTGCACAGTATCCCATTGTGTATATACACCACAACTTCTTATGCATAAAACTCTTTTTTATCCATGAAACTCTTATTAAACATTAAGATTATTTCCTGCCCTGGCCACTATACTAAATGTTGTAATGAACATATGTTGACATAGATTTTCTCAAATTAATGTTTTCAAGCTTGCATGAAGGTATCAAAAATAGGATCACTTTTAATGTGAAAATTCTATTTTCACTTTTTAGATAAATCTCATAGTGTTTTCCATCGATAAATTTTCACAAACACAGAAACAGTATTCCCTTTGACAATGTTCCAACAATGGTTGTTTCCAGTATATTTGATATAAGCCACTCTCACTGAGGAGAGATGATCTTCATTATCCTTTGTATTAATATGTCACTGATACTAAGTGTTCATCAACACTTCTCAGATGCCTACAGGGCATAGAAATGTTGCTTTGGAAAGTATTTGTTTATTTTCCAAACCCTTTTATGGGGGGTGATTTTTTTGGATGTTGAGCTTGGTGCTATGAATATCTGAGGTATTAGGTTGGCTCTGATGTTTGGTGGGTACATGTTACTCCCAGTCAGTTAGGGTACCTTAATTTTAATGTCATTTACATGGCCTTTAAAATCTTTTAATTGATTTAGTCCCAGTTATTTATTTTAGTTTCTTTTCTCTCTGCTATTGAAGCAAAACTATAGGTGAGCTCTCTAAGATCAGTGTCATAGAGAGAGCGTAGAGGTTTTTATTTTACTCTCTGTGTTTTAAGGATTCTGCTGTCAAAGCTGGACAATAAGTCCTCTTTTAACTAAATTCTGTATCTAGTGTGAGATATGAATTCAATTCTATCTTATATTATTGTTTTTATATGTGGTGTTGTTTTCCCAACACCATTTGTTGAAGAGATTTTCCTTGCTTCACTCCATAGGATGGAATCTTTTCCAAAAGATTCACTGTAATAGATCTAAGGATTTATTCTGGGCTCTCAATTCTATGAAGCTGAACTGAGAGTTTATATTCCTGAAACTCGGGGTTCATTTCTATAGCTTCATGATATTATTGGAAGTCTGTTCTCCAGGGGATGTCAAGAGTTCTCAGTGAGGTCCTGTCAGTACCAGAACCCACAGTTATTCTTGCAAACCGGCCTCTGCCCTCCCAGGCCCACTAAGAAAACACCGCAGGCTTTGTGGCTGCCAAAAGTCATTAGAGTCACAGCCCTAGCTGAATAGAGTGAGGAACTTCACCCAATCCATGCGTAGACCACCAGGCACTTACACCCTTAGCTCCCACAGAGCACCGGGACAATGAAAATATGATTCTATTCTTTATTGAAATAACAATCACATCATAAGACACTTAATACCCATCTTCCAGGATTGCCGCACCATATTTGATAGGGTTCAAATATGGTTTGAACCATGGGAACACTTACAAGGGCGATTAGAGGCCGCCTTAAAAGGCTCTATCCTTCTCGGAGAGCCTGGCAAGCTACTGAGAGTATCCCTCCCACACGGCAGAGCCTGGCAAGCTATCCGTGGCATATTCAATATGCCAAAACCAGGAAATACAATGGGTCTCATTCCCCTCACCTTAAAAGAGCCATCAATACGGCAGCATTAAGAAGGATGAGGAAGAAGAGGCTGATAAAATCTCAAGGCCAAACTAGGCTGCCAAAACGAAGAAAGACAAATTTAAAACAGGATGAGAACGCTATTCAGGTCTCCCAAAGAGGAATCGAAAGAGCTATGCTTGGAGTATCACGCTTCACTCAAATGAGAGAAAGAATCCAGAGTTCCAATGTCCATTGATGGTCAAGAATCAGGGACACTGTCTCGTTTGCCAAGGTGTCCAAAATCAGATGGGCTGTACACGTAATGAGATTTGGAGATGACCACTGGACTAGAGCTGTTACCGACTGGATTCCACGGGATATCAAATGATTGCGTGGCCACCCACCTATGAGATGGTCAGACTTCTTCATCAAGACCCTGAAAGATCGGTTTGAAGATCTTCGTGTTCCTAGAACAAGCAGACATCCCTAGCACGCGATAGGTACGAATGGAGACATTACTGGCACCAGCTCTAGCAAATTGATGAGCAATAGGATGTCAAGGGACCAAGTGATTGTTTAAGGGATGTGAACTGAATCCAGGTAGGGGCATCAGAACATCCGATTTCTCTGTGGGTGCGCCGAGAGCAACAATCCTCTCAATGCTCTCTGACCTGAGGAAAACACTGAGAGGGAGACTCAGGAATCACAGGGAGAGAAGGAAAGGAACAATGATTACTGTTCTCCAAACAGAACTGAAGGAGAGAAATAACATATTCAATGACTGAATGAGGAGAAACAGAACTGAATGCTTCGGCTGTGTGTTTTGTGTGTATTTTGGCTACTGTATTTGGTGCTGCCGTGAACACAACTATGATCATACCCACTCATGAATTATTTGGGGTTTCCAGAAGACACATAAGGTACCTGAGGCCCATCTTAGTCTAAGGAGGAAGTTCTGTACCCTGGTGTCTCTATGAGTAGTTAGTGGGGAGCGAGTCCAGAGCAGATTATGTTTCACCTGGTGCTTGTGGAAGGAGGACCCACATCCTAGGACCTTGCTCTGTGCACAGAAGCTGAGTGAGGCCCTGCGCTGTGAAGACAAGTGAGGTGTGTCCCGACTCTGAACCTGCAACGATCCAGTAACATTGATCATAATTCCACCTGAGGACTCACTGACTCTCTCGGCTGTTTCTGCACTCAACATTGAAGTTGACTTTGTGTTTGTGATTGTGGTCAGCCCATGACAAACGTTTTGTGTTGCAAACAAGCAGTTACTTTCAGCTACGTTCAAACACATGGTTCTTTGCCTTCTTTTTTCAATTTTCCTCCCATAAACTAATAATTTTGGGGTCAAGGTGGAGCCAAAGTTTTCACCCATTTCATGCTTTGAGTTGCCAGTATTATATTTGTCTTAAATGACACAATCAATGTAAATGAAATGATGAACAGAATCAAAAGAGAAGCAAAAAACTGGGCAAAATATCTGTCCACCTCTCATATGATGTAAAATTAATAAAACATATACAAAGCACTTATATTAATTAACAAAAAAATGAACCCCATCTAAAATGGGGGTTTGAAATAGATACATCCTTAAAGGAGACTTTGAGGCAAAGAACTGTAGGAACAAATTCTCCTCATCACTTATCAGAGAAATGAAAATTAGAACAATTATGAGATATCACCTCACCCAGGTAGGAGGGCAAATATCACAAAGAACCAAAATATTTTATATTAGCAAAGATGTAGAGGAAATGCAATCCTCATCCTCTGCAGTTGGGAATATCAAAGGGTTGACCTCTTTCAAAGCAACGTGGGTACTAATCAATATACTAAGAATTGACCTTCCATATTACCCAAAATTTTCACTCTTGACCCCAATGGACCCAAAACACTAATTTAGAAATATATTCGCATGTCCACGTCAAGGGATGGAGTCTGAAATGCCACCGGGTTCGTTCCCTGCGCCCCTGGGCACCCGCCCGGGATGTGTTCCTTGGCGATCTCTTCACTTGCTTTGGAGGACGACTCCTGTGGTCCACAGCTCCTAGGCCAAAGCCTAATTCTTTCCCACCATCACTGCTGTGGCTTCTCTCATCTCCCACTAACCCTGTAAAACAAACCCGCTGGGCTGGAGCCTCAATCACCGGCACCCATATGGTTCCCCAAGATGAGCCAGGAGTGAGCCCTGAGCACTACCAGGCATACCCCAAAATCTCACACGCATACACACATCTGTGTGCAAGTGCCATGAGCCCCCCCCCCGCCCCAATAATAAAGCGCCTACTGTGTGCTGCTGCTAATGATACTTAAGTACCTACAGTACCTACTGTGTGGTACCATGCTGGAAATTCTTAGGGATTCAGAGATGGCTGCCTTCTACTCAGTGAGATACCTTTTTTTTTTTTTTTGGTAAATTATGGCTAGAGTGATAGCACAGCGGTAGGGCATTTGCCTTGCGCACAAGCCAGCCTGGCTGAGCTGGGTTCGTTTCCTCCGACCCTCTTGGAAAGCCTGGCAAGTTACCGAGAGTATTCAATATGCCAAACACAGTAACAAGAAGTTTCACAATGTAGACATTACTGCGCCCGCTCGAGCAAATTGATGAACAATGGGAGGACAAGACAAGACAAGACAAGCACATGTTTACTGTATCACAATATTGTATTCAAATACCCAAATCTTACACAACCAGAGTATCTGAGAATAGATAACTGGATGGAATATAGTACATCTACACAGTGGAATACTACGCAGCTACCAGGAAAAATTATATCATGAAATTTGCTTATAAATGGAGGGAAATGGAGAGTATCTGGGTTAGTAAAATGAGTCAGGAGAGGGATAGATATAGAATAATTTCATCGTTCTGTGGGATTTAAACTTTTGTATGAGATTAATATTCAATGCCAGGAAACACAGGGGCTGGAAAGACAGGTCAATAATTTTAAGCTTGCTACAAGTGTATGAGGGGGAGTATGACAGTGATAGTTAGATATGATCACTCTGAATAAGAACTGAGTTTTGAAAGTATGAAAAAGGATATACATGATAACTTTTCAGTGTCTGTATTGCAACACATAGATGGAGGGATATAGAATCCTAGGGATCAACAAAGGAGAAAGATGGCTCAGGTGATGATGACCAAATTCTGTGTTTGGACTGTCCTTTCTGTCACAATCCTGTGTGCTCTCTCTCTCTCTCTCTCTCTCTCTCTCTCTCTCTCTCTCTCTCTCTCTCTCTCTCTCTCACCCTCCTTAAACTTCCCTAAGTAAATTTCTTTAGATGATACTATTTTACTTATCTCTCCATCTCTTTCTACCTTGCATTCACAGAGAGACAGAAAGTGAATCTCTGATTTTCTCTTGTTCAGGTTTTCACGTGTGCTTGGTGGAAAGATGTTTTCCAAACTTCTATCATGTCTGACCAGAAATCAGAACTCAAGGATTTTTTGCATTTGGACAAGTTCATGTGATCTCATGAATTCGGCTCTCTATTTCTTTCCCCTTGCGTTTCTCTACGTAAATTTCTTTAAATAATACTATTCTATATCACTGAAAAAGTCAGAGTACAAGTCATATGTGCATAAAGCTTTATTAATTTTATCCTAATTTACTTATATTTGTGCCAAAGATACTGCTATGTAATAAAGTTGTTGGCAGCTGTGTTAGACTCATGCCTGGTTTTTAAATATTTTTCATTAATTCAGCAAATTTAATATAATTTTGTGTTTATATTAAAGTCTTTACTTAAAGACTTAAATCCTCTTTTAGTTTGATGGTTTTATCTATTTTTATTTGAGTAAATTATTTATTATATCACTTTTACATGATCTCAGCAGAGAAGACTCAGTGTCACGTTTTAAGTTATGCATATTATATATATAAAACTACTTGATTTGCCAATATTTTCCTAGAATGCATCGATCTCGGCTATTCCTGAGAAGAGAGCCAGGAGTAAGCCCTCAACCTCAGAATTGCCAGGTCTGGCTCAAAACACACACACAAAAGCCCATAAAAGAATAGAACTGGGGCTGGAGTGAGAGTACAGCGGGTAGGGCATCTGCCTTGCCTGCAGCCGACCCAGGTTCAATTCCCAGCATCCAATATGGTCCCCTGAGCACTTCCAGGAGTAATTCTTGAGAGCAGAATCAGGAGTAACCCCCTGTGTATCGCCAGGAGTGGCCCAAAAAGCAAAAATAAATAAATAAAAGAATATGACTTGTGAACAAGGCTTCTGAAGTGAAGTCTCAGGATTCCATCCTGTGTTAGAGACCCCCAAGAGGTTGAAGCCCTTGAGAGCCCAGAGGCTCTCCCTGCAGGGTGGGGACCGGGCTTCAGGGGGCGCCAAGTCCCAAGAGCACAGAGTTGCAGGATAGAAGGGGTGCAGAGATGGGAGAAGTGGTTGCAAAGATGCAGAAACTCCTCAGAAACGGGATTTCTTTCTTCAATATAAATAAATTTTGCTTTCTCAAGAAAACCAAAATTAATATAAATATAGACACAGAAGCTTAAACTGTGCATACTTATCCTTTTATCATATTGATAAGGCAGTAAAACTTGTATGCAGGTGGTGTTTCTGGACCAGAAATCAGAACTCAAGGATTTTTTCCCTTTTGGAGAAGCCCATGTTTTCTCAAGAACATGGCTCTCTCTTTCTCTCCCCTTGCATTTCTCTAAGTATATTTCGTTAAATAATACTATTCTGTATCGCTAAAAAGTCAGAGTAAAAGTCATATGTGCCATAAAACTTTATTGTATTCTATCCATTTTGTGTTTACTTATATTTGTTCCACTAATACTGCTATGTAATAAACTTGTTGGCAGCTATGTTAGACTTATGCCTGGTTTTTGAAGTCTTCGTTAACTTAGCAAATTTAATATAAAATTTTTGTTTAAAGTCTTTACTTAAATATTTAAATCCTCTTTTATTTTGATAGTTTACAGTATTTTTATTTGAGTGAATTATTTAAAGTAGCAAGTAGCACTTTTACATGATTTCAGCAAAGAACACTCAGTGTGAATTTTAAGATATATATATATATATATATATATATATGATTTACCAATATTTTACTAGGATCCATCTACCTGAGGGATTCCTGAGCACAGAGCCAGGAGTAAGCCCTCACACCTGCCAAGTGTGACTCAAAACCAAAACAAAAGGCTCATAAGAGAATAGGATATGTGAACAAGGCATGTGAAATGAAGTCCCTGTATTCAATCCTACAGAAGAGACACGAAACTGTTAATGCCTCTGAGAGCACAAAGGCTCTAACTGCAGGGTGGGGACCAGACTGCAGGGGGCGCCAAATCCCAATAACACAGAGTTACAAGCTTGAGGGCTGCAAAGGTGGCAGAAATGAGTGCAGAGATGCAGGAATCTCCTCAGAAACAGAATTTCCTTTTTCAATAAAACTAAAGTTTGTTTTCCTAAAAATATCAAAACTAAAGTAAGTACAGGAGACAGAAGGTCAAATTGTGAATACTTATCGTTTGGGGAGGAACATTTATGATATTGACAAGGCAGTAAAACATGTATGCAGGGGGTGCTTCTAGAAATCTTTATATCTCCAATGGAAACCTCTGGAGCATTGGGATGGTTTTTTAGTCCCATTGTAGTATCCCTTGGGGAGTTCCAGGATCCCAGAAATAACCTCAAAGCCCAAGTGTGCCCAGATGTGTTCAAGCCATACAGATGTGGGGGGCACTGAGGGGAAAGTCCTGGAAGTGCTTGGCCCTCCGGAGGAGAAGCTCTGTGTGAACAGAGTCCTGGGACAGGGCAGGGTCTCATCACCTCAAACAAGGATCAGAACGTGGACCTCTTCACTCCCCTTGAGGATGGACCCAGTGGCTTCCACCAGCCCCTTCTCAGGTTGGACCAGGCTTCAGCTATGAATTCTCCCTCCTAATGAATATGCAAATTACACGAGGGACACTGAGTTAAATAGAGATGTGTCTGTGACCCAAAAACATCACACAGCAGGCACACCCACACCTTCAGAAGCCCCTGAGTACACAGTCCCCACCATGGACTGGACCTGGAGAATTCTCTTCCTGGTGACAGTGGCTTCAGGTAAGTGTCCCCATGCCTTGGGCTGAGGGAAAGGGGCCAGTCAAGTGGAGTCCACCAACTCCTACCTGCTGTCCACAGGTGTGAACTCCCAGATACAGCTGGTACAGTCAGGGGCTGAGGTGAGAAAGCCTGGGACATCAGTGAAGATCTCCTGCAAGGCATCCGGATACACCTTCACCAGCAACTGGATGTACTGGGTGCGACAGGCCCCGGGACAAGGGCTTGAGTGGATGGGAAGGATATACCCTGGTGATGGTGATACAAGCTATGCACAAAAGTTCCAGGGAAGAGTCACTATCACTGCAGACAAGTCCAAGGACACAGCCTACATGGAACTGAGCAGGCTGAGCACTGAGGACATGGCCGTGTATTACTGTGCGAGAAACACAGTAGAACAACCACATCCTGAATGTGTCAGAAACCTGAGGGGAAGGCAGCTGTGCTGCATGAGGAGATGACGGGGACACTGATCCTCCTGACTTCCTCCTCAGAGTCAGGGTATGAGACACAGAATGGGGCTCACAGGGTCAGGCTTCATCTGAGGGAAAGGCTCAGGATCTGTCTCTGTCCTTCAGCAACAACCAAGAGAAAGATGGCTTTTCTTGAGAACACCTGGTGTCACTCATATTTTCTTGTGGGATTGTACAGTGGAGCATCTCAGATGGTACAGGAAGAACCACATGGAAGTTTGGGCTGGTGTCACTGCAGGTTCCTGGACTGCAGATCTTCCCATGGCAGACTTCCACTTTCGCATATTTAATCTGAATTTCTGTGTCTCAGCAAAAAAATTCTATTCTCTGAGTTGAAATCCTAGAGTTGGACAGACCCCCCCCCCCTGGAGTTTCTGTGTAGCCCTGCCCCTCTGTGCATACTTTTATCTTCATATTCCTGAGCTGCAATCCTACAATTTGTCAAGGACCTATCATATGGTGGCTAGGAAATGGTCAGAATCAGGGTCTGTGAATTCCTGAAGTCCTGAAGTCCTGGGCATCTCAGCCCAGCTCCGGGGAAGTTTGTGACCCAAGCACAGACACACTATCTGGGGTTTGCCCAGGAGGGCTGGCATTAGCATGGACCAGCAGACAGGATCTAGAGCGAGGCCTCAGGGACTGCTCCCTCCATGCCAGGGTCATGCATCCCAGCTGAGTTTACCTGGGGTCTGATCTCACCAATTGACCGATATCCCTGGGAAATATATGGTATGGAGCGAAACATTAATTTTGTGCATGCCTTACAATCTGGGAATATTTATCACTTTCAGTTGATATCTATGCCAGCATAGTGTGTTAAAAGTGCAGATAGCCATGACATTGAAGCTAATGGTATCTTCAAAGATGTCACGCCAATGGCCGAGCAAGTGAAAACAGAGATAGATAAATGGGACTATCTTAAACTAAGAAGCTTCTGCACCTCCAAAGAAACAGTGACCAAAATACAAAGACAGTCTACAGAATGGGAAAGGATATTTGCCGAATACACATCTGACAAGGGGTTGATATCAAGGATATACAAAGTACTGGTTGAACTCCACAAGAAGAAAACATCCAACCCCATCCAAAAATGGGGCAATAAAATGAACAGAAACTTTCTCAAAGAAGAAATCCGAATGGCAAAAAAGCACATGAGAAAATGCTCTACATCATTAATCATCAGAGAGATGCAAATCAAAACCACAATGAGATACCATCTCACACCTCAGAGACTGGCCCACATTCAAAAGAACAAAAGCAACCGATGCTGGCGCGGATGTGGTGAGAAAGGGACACTCCTTCACTGTTGGTGGTAATGCCGACTGGTTCAGCCCTTCTGGAAAACAGTATGGAAGATTCTCAAAAAATTAGAAATTGAGCTCCCATTTGACCCACAATACCACTCCTGGGAATATATCCCAGAGAGGCAAAAATGTATAGTCTAAGTAACATCTGCACTTGTTTGTTCATTGCAGCACTCTTTACAATAGCCAGAAACTGGAAGAAACCTGAGTGTCCAAGAACAGATGACTGGTTAAAGAAACTTTGGTACATCTACACAATGGAGTACTATGTAGCTGTTAGAAAAGATGAAGTCATGAAATTTACATACAAGTGGTACAACATGGAAAGTATCATGCTAAGCGAAATGAGTCAGAAAGAGAGGGATAGACATAGAAATATTGAATTCATCTGGGGGGTATAAAGTCACAAAATATGAGATTAATACCCAAGAATAGCTGAGATCAGCACCAGGAGGATTACTCTATAGCTTATAGGCCATCCAGGCATTCTAGGGGAAAGGGCAGCTCAGATAGAGAAGGGAGCACCAAATAAAGGGTGTTTGGAGGATCCTCCCAGGAGGGGAGATGCATGTTGAATGTAGACTATGGACTTAACATGTTTGCCACTCAATGCCTCTTTTGCAGACCACAACACCCAAAAGGAGAGAGTGAGCAAAAGGGAATGCCCTGCCACAGAGGCAGGGTGGGATGGGGGGATGGGTGTGGGAGGGTTACTGGGATCCATGGTGGTGAAAAATGGGCACTGGTGGAGGGATGGGTATTTGATCATTGTATAATCGAAACCCAAGCACAAAAAATCGTAAATCTACAACTGTACCTCATGGTTTTTCACTAATAAAAATTTAAAAAAGAAAGTGCAGATAGTCATTTTAGTCTTTCTTCTTTTGGGCAGCCTAGGTTGGCCCTGAGATTTTAGCAGCCCCTCCTTGTTCGTCCTTCTCAAAGCTGCTGTATTGGGGGCTCTTCCAGGGTCAGGGGAATGAGGCCCATTTTTTGTTACTGTTTTTGGCATATCGAATACACCACGGGTAGATTGCTAGGCTCTGCTGTGCAGGTGGCAAGTTGTAATGATCTGTGTTGGTTCGCTCTTCTCCCGTTGGCACCATTGCTGCCCTCTTGCCACGATGAGGTGGTGAACCATCGAGGTTGGTGGACCTTCCTACTCCTCACTTATCTACAGTAGCTGACCCCCGCCCTACTCCTCCTTCCTTCCTACTCCTCCCTTGTCTGCAGTAGCTGGCGCCACCCTGCCCCTCCTTTTATCCCAAAGAGGAATCCAAAGGGCTATGTTTGGAATATAATGTTTCACTCCTGAGCGAAGGAATCTGGAGTTCCGACCTCCATCCACGATTGAGAATCAGGGACGCTGTCTCGTTTGCCAAGGCATTGGAAATCAGATGAGCTAGACATGTAATGTGATTTGGAGACAACCGGTAGACTAGAGGCATTACCGACTGGATTCCACGGGTCATCAAAAGGACACGTGGCCGCCCACCTACAAGATGATCAGACTTCTTCGTCAAAACCCTGAACAATCGGTTCGAGGCTCTTCCTAGGGCGAGCAGATGCCATTGGGCTACATTAGCACGCAACAGGGACGAATGGAGACATTACTGCCACCTACACGAGCAAATCGATGATCAACAGATGACAAGTGATGACAAGTGACAAGTGATATAGCCTCTTAGTGTCCACTGGGAAGGCTCAGACTACATGACTATATGATGGGTTATCAGTCATGCAAACCACAGTATTACTGGGAATATATGTGCTTCCATAATTGGACTATGACCTTTTCTTCTTAGGCAGATTACAAGATTCATCCATGCATTTTGAAAAATGTTACCAAATTTTGCAAAATGATCAATTTACAAAAAGTGAACAAAACCCTTCCCAAAGACAGAGAAAATGTCCATATCTGATGTGAAAGTAATTTCATACCTCCCCTAGGAGAACATTTAACATACATGAATCAGGATGACCCTTCAGTTTCTGAAGGCACAATAAGCACAATATGGGCGAAAGTTCCAACCGAGGTCAATTCAGAGCACAGAAGCAGGGGCCAGACCTGAAAACCAGCCTTGATTGTCCATGTGGTTGAGCAGAAAGGCCCAGACAGATTCCTGGGACAGGGAAGTCCAGGAATCAGACCTCGAGGATTGTTCTCAATGCATCCCTTCTGCCTCTGCACAGAGCAGGCGCCTAGATGGGGCTCCTTGGTGACTGAACTGCTACCTACAGTTCTGGAGTGTCAGACTGTTCTCAGTCTCCCACTGTCCTGTGTGTGTAGGGACAACTCCAAGTTACACTGGGAAGGCCAAGTTCTCAAATCAACAACCACTCTCCTAGTGCTACACACTTCCAACTGAATCTAGAAAGTCTGGGGCATTGGCCTGAGACATTTTACTCATAAATTTCACATGTATGAGGAACATCTGGAAAGAGTCCTAATCCTGTCTACCCTCTGTGAGCCTTATGTGCTTACTGAGTTGAAAATCATTCAACTTTCTGCAATACAGGAGAAAATGAGAGGATATCATGCTGAGTGAACCAGTCAGCAGTAAAGGGAGAGATACAGAATGATCTGTCTCATAATATGGGGCTTAAAGTGTCCACAGCAAGGTAGCAACAAGGGCTAAGAGGAGCACAATAGGAGAACTGATCTGCACAATTGAGTATTTTTGGGGGTGGGGTTTTATTTTTTTGGGGGGAGGGCTGGGGCTTTAACCCTGACTTCAATCTCTAAATTCTCACATATCTTATTCCCTGAACTCCAAGACTTGAACCTGTTTCAATCTTCCAGGGCCTTTACCGAGTGCCAGAGGCACAGAATGGTTGTCCCAGTTGCACACAGAGAGGGCACTGACACAGGAATTTCTCCCTGGTGAGCAGAAGTTTGGGGGAGTCTCCTAGCCTGACCCAGGTCTAACCTGTGTTCTGGGACAGACAGGAATCTCAGTATCCCTTGGTGCCTGGAGGAGACTTTCAGTTTCCTGTTCTGAGGAGGCCCAAGTCTACACCAGCTCCTGTGTTCAACATTTGCACAAGGGACCCTTAGGTCACATTTGAAATAACAGGAAGAAAGGAAGTATTATGGCTGACACTGGGGGCATTTTTTCTACCTTTTCCAGAATTTCAGGAAAATTCTCTCCTCAAAGGTGTTGAGGTAAAAATCCCAGATAGTTAGATCCATGCCCTGTCTCCCACACTGAGATTTCAGCATGGAGTGAGGAGCATCTCCGTGGGACTGGGGAAACGTCCCCCTTGCAGAGGCCATTGATCAAATGCTTGGTCAGTATATGCTCAAAGATTTATGACTGCAGTGTGGCTGAGACATAGCAGCCCACATAGGCCCTTGACACTTAGTCATATGACAGAGTTTATTAGGAGAGCAATGGCCCATAGAGGCTAAGGGAGGATGCCTGTGTGCACTAAGGAGCAGGTGGCAGGAGAATCAGGAGATTGTTATGCCTGGAAAAAGTTGCTGGAGCACTGGCCTTGATGATCTAAGGCAGAGGCAAGGTTGAAGTATTGCTGACACCTGAGATGTCTCTTTCCCAAGTCTCAAGCCATTGGACACTAGCAAATCAAGGCCAGTTAATCTACGCTATTCATAGAAATATCAGAGAACATGAGGCCTGTGGAACTCTCTACAGGTCCAATGTCTTCTAGTGGCCAAGGGGACAGCCAGGGAGAACTCCACACCTCCAGGAATCTGGGTTACCATGTGCAACATAAGTGCCTTACCACTGTACTATCTCTCAATTCCTGTTGTTTTGATCATGTTGTTTACGCCACTTTGGTATACTCCTGGTTCTGTGCTCAGGGGTCACTACTGGTAGGCGCAAGGGAAACTATGTGAAGGGCAGGGAATCAACCTGATGAACCACATGCAGGGGAGGACCTTCCCCCTCTACTGCCTCTGCATATCTAGTTACAGGGATGATCCTGGTGAACAGGGACCAACTGTGGGTTGCTGTGAGTATGAACAGATAGACAGACTGAAGAAAGAAAGGGTGCTGCTCAGAGGACTAACTCCCTAGTGGACTGACAGCTCCAAAAGCCCAATGTTTTGAGAGTTATTGCTTAGAACCGGAATCATCAGGAGAACAGCATGCTTAGGTCAATTTTCTAGCTTTGTCTGAGCTAAGCTCTTACACATCTGAGGCCTTAGGTAATCAGGACAAATACTTTTAATCCCAGAGGTTTTTCCTCTCAGACAAAGTACAAAAACAGCAGCTACATGGACTTGCTCCAGTGGGTTTTCAGACATCAGTGCCCTGTTTTCTGGCCATTCTTCCTTCCTCCTGATTTTAACTTAATACTTGTCTCCCAAAACAGTGACAGCTGTGAGTGACAAAATGGATTCCTTTTATCTAGATAGTGGGACCAACTCTAAAATTTACTTTTGCGCTTTATAAAAACCATTTAAGCTTTTATATTTCATATTGATTCATTAAATATAAGTAATACTACACACATAACTAGATTTATATAAAAATAAACATTAAAGAATATAAATTAAATTGGTTGTCATGTAATAATTGCATGCTGGAATAGCAGAGTTTCCGAAACTTTTCATGGTCATGGGCACCCCAGAACCCTTCACCTGCTCTGAAGTTCTCCCTTCTCTCTCCATGATCAATGAGAACTTTTTATAGAGAAGGAGGACATGCAAATAGACTTTCTCCACAGTGATGAAAACAGCCCAGCCCAGCCTCAGCTGCGGGAGAGGAAATGAGTCAGTTCAGGGGTTCCCAGGGGCTCCATCCTGACTCAGATAGAACCAACATGACGTGTGGGCTGAGCTGGCTTCTCCTGGTGGCTGTGTTAAGAGGTAACTAAATGGCGACAGATACACGGAGCATGGGAGAGATGGGGGAGGCAGATCCTAAGTGTGAGGAGAGTTTCCTGACCAGGATGTCTTTGTGTTTGCAGGGATCCAGTGTGAGGAGCAGCTGGTGGAGTCTGGGGGAGACTTGATGCATCCCGAGGGGACTCTGACACTCTCCTGTACAACATCTGATTCAATTTTGGCAGGTATTATGTAAACTGGATCCGCCAGGCACCAGGGAACGGCCTAGAGTGGGTCTCACGCATTAGTACTAGTGGTACATATACAGGCTATGCCAACTCTGTGAAGCCGATTCACCATCTCCAGAGACAACAGCAAGAACACGCTCTCTCTGAAAGTGAGCCACCTGAGGGAGGAGGACATGGCCCTGTTCCACTGTGTGGGACACAGGGAGGGAAAGGCCGTGTGGGCCCAGATACAAACCACCTGCAGGAGGAAGCAGGGTGAGCTTCAGGGGTGCAAGCTCCCAGGCGGCTCTGAGGACTCTCCCCTGAGGAAACGTTGCTCATGACCAGATGAATCATATTTCTGTGGAAATCAGGACTTACCTTCCCCTCAGCTCTCAGATGGCCCCATGGACATCTTGTCCTGTGTGTTGTGGCTCAGGACAATCCTCCTTCTCCACTGTGGCCAGGAAAGAATTTGTCACACTCTCTGCCTCCTGACAGAAGTTTTCACTAATGGGACCATGACTTTCTTGGGAACCAGTAACGTCTCCTTCGTCCTAGCCCTGAGATTATAAAAAGTGCCACATTCAAGGCTCTTTCAGGGTTAGGAGATAGCACAGTGGTAGGGCATTCGCCTTACAAGCGGCCAACTTGGCCCACCCGAGTTCGATTCCTCCACCGCTCTCGGAGAGCCCGGCAAGCTACCGAGAGTATCTCGCCCGCACGGCAGGGCCTGGCAAGCTCCCCGTGATGTATTCGATATGTCAAACATAGTAACAACAAAGTCTCCAATGGAGACATTACTGGGCCCGCTCGAGCAAATTGACGATCAACGGGAGGGCCTTTTCCTATTGTTACTAGAATTTGGCATATTGGGTATGGCACGGGGCATTTGCCAGACTCTGCCGCGTGGGCAGGCTACACTCGGTAGCCTGCCAGGTTGTCAAAGCAAGAATAAGATAATAAGATGTCGTGCGGCTGTGAATGCTGCTGCGAGCTTACGGGGCACTGCTGGGGCTCTTCTCAGAGCGGGTAGGGAAACTGAACCCCTCCCTGTCAGAGGGGCCCTGACGAGGAGTGCCATGCACGGGGACAGGAGACTCTGTGCTCTAATCTTTCGGAAACTAAGTTTTATAGTCTCTGGGTCTGGTCGTTGATAGGATTATACGGCGCTGCGGGGCAGTTGGTGGGTGTGACCCCACCTACTGGAAGATGGAGGACCTGGGTGGAGGATGCTCAGCCCCAATCTGAGTAGGCTTGGAGATCTCAGCCCCTGGACCCTCATGTCTTTATTCCTCTGCTGGTATTCATAATGTGGAGAGTGGTCTCAGCATAGTTGTGGCTGATTCTGGAGGTCTTCGGGGTGCTGACGGGGCTCAGCTCGGGATGGGGAGGGAAACTCAACCTGCCCCTGTCTGAGGGGCCCCGACAAGGACAGCCAGGAGCGGGGGCAGGACACTCTGCGCTGTTCTCTTCTGGGAGCTGGGTTTTATAGTCTCTGGGTCTTGGTCGTTGATAGGATTACATAGCGCTGGGGAGTGGTTGGTGGGTGTGACCCCGCCTACCTGGAGATGGAGGACCTGGGTGGTGGATGCTCTGCCCCAATCTGAGTAGGCTTGGAGATCTCAGCCCTGGGACCCGCATGCCTTTGTTCCTCTGCCGGTATTCTTCGTGTGGATGTGACTTTTAAAGAACTTCTCATTGTGGATCAACCTCAACCTCCCTTCACCCTCTGAGATACTGTAAATTGGGCATTAGAATTCCCCCTCCCATCACTTGGTGACACTACTAAGGCAGCTCTCCTGTTTTGGTTGACCTTCCAATATCACATGTTAAACACCACAAATGTACAATTAAATCCTCTTCACTTGGAAAATAGAAACAGTTTTATAGCTTCAAT